GGGTCTGGCACATGCACGCAGTGGCTGGCACTGCTTGGAGCCTGGGGAATGGTTACATGTGGTCTCCGAAGGGTTGTGGCTTCCTCGGCAACATGTGTTTGTGGTTTGCAGATGACTGACTGGAGTAAGAATTCGAATTCTCACGCATAAACACTACGTGTAAAATTGACATGAGTCCAATCTGGTGGGGCGCTGTTGTGACAACGTGTCTGCATCTACCAGGAATTCACTTTCTTGCCAGAGTTCAGTGAGGCTGTAACAGCTAGAGAAACAGCAGTAACTGAAGTGAGAACAGCGCCTCAGTTCCCACCAAACAAATAAATCCCCGCTCATTCGGGAGCTGGTCGGACGACTGGTGTTTCCCTGCACAGAGTGGGGCTATTTCTGAATCCCCGGTGCTTCCCAGGACAGACAACAGACGCTCCCCTAGGCCCGACAGCGCCCGCTCGGCCTGCAGACGGCTTTCACTGTGGGAAGAGAGAAGTGCCCCCAGCACACGCGCCCAGCTCCCTGGGAGGTCTCGAAGCTGGTGAACGGGGTGGAAGGGGTGGTCTCAAGTGGGAGGGTAGCGGGCAGTTTTCATTCATACCGGGAAGTGTGGGAAAACAGTTCTCACTCGGGAGGGTCATTAGGAAGATCAAAGCAAATAATGCACGTGGAAGAAGTCCTTTTCCGTGTAAAGCAACATGGTGTCGACGGAGGGTTTCACCATGGTTACCGCTCCTGGGAAACTGCCACAGCCCCTTATTCATTCCAGAAATTTATTAAGGGGCTACTTTGTGCCAGGCAATATGCTGAGATGCTGAAGAAATAAGACCTAATTTATGCCCCGGAGGCTTTGTTCAGTTAGGAAGATGTATAATGCCATGACTCAGGCAACGTGAAGCTGCGCTGAGCTGTCTAGACACCCCGGTGGGACGGTGAGTCACGCGCTGTGTGCCGGGGTGCCTGCTGCTTCTCCAAGTTTCCCTTTGAAAATGTTCCATTTTCTTTGGTAACCATGGCAGCGTTCAGCTCTCACACCACACAGCCAGAAACAGAGGCAGCCGAGTGGAGCCCCCCTGGGGGGTCGTGCCCACAGCGGGCGTGCCATGCCTTCCTGAGCAGCTCGTCCTCTCCCCCCATCCTCTGGTTCTCGACCGTCGGTGACATGCCTGGGCGGTGGGGTAGGGTGATGAAGGGTAAGAGGAAGGTGAGGGTGGGAGGCCATTGCAGACCAAAGCGAGGGGTCGGTTTTTGTCACCAGAGGCCCTAATGTCTCCAGCAACTTAAGAAAAGTTGTTTATCTCTTTGCCAGTCTGTAAGCTCAGGACTTTGCTTCCACAGAGTTTCATGTTCATTAAGTTCTTAGCATCTTACTTGCTGGGCTGCACATCAGGGAACTTGACAAGTATTTTCTGAAGGATAGCCTGGGACCAGCCCCAGGTGACACTGGAAGCTTGGGGCATCATTAGAAAGTCAGTGGAATTTTGAGACATAAAGACCTGGGAGTCTTTTAGGTTTCAGCGTCCAAACAACCAGAAAAGCTCCAAGCAGCAATGCTTAGGGTAGGGACACAGATCACAGGATCCACAATGGGCGTTCTGGGGAGATGTACACATTTCCCCTTATCTCACCCTCACCTCCATCCACCCCACCTCTGCTGCTTGACAACTTTTCTAAAACTGTTAGGGGCAGAAATATTAATCATGCTCTGTTGACCATGATTTTAGCTCTAGTTATAAAAAATATTAATCATGCTCTGTTAACAGTGATTGTTCTGTTCTGATTAGAGAAAGCACATTCTAACCTGGCTGAGAGTTGTACACCCCGGGACATTTGAAATGTGATCCATTCTCCTTGACTGCCTAATGCCAGGGAAAGATTAACAACTTTGTTGCCAAAACAAAGGGGTCCCGGAGGTGCCCCACCCTTTTGCAAACCCCAGCCCGAATTTCCTGTAACCTGTAACTGTCACACCCACTCTTACTCCTTTTGCCCACTTCCCCATGTAAGCTTTGTCCTTCTACTAAATATAAGGAACTGGCTTATGGGGGTGGGGGGTAAGAGTGGATTTTTGTGGATGACCCCCTGCTCTCCCATACTGGTGGCAATATTGGAAGAAACGCTCATATATGATTCAACCTTGATTCTCTTAATTGGCTCAAGTAGTGACAGGCAGCCCAGGCCCATTGTGTCCGGTTTCAAAACCAGTGAGCCTCAGTGTCTTGTTTGTCTTATCACCAAAGCCTTGGGCCCTAAACCCACTCCTGGTGGTGTCCTCCTTGGCCAGGAGCCAAGTGGCCAGCCAGTGACAGTGGGATCGCCCTCAGCTCCCCCTCCTCTGCCTGGGAGGAGCGTCAGGACACCCCAGCACACTGTCCAAGTGGATGGTTTCTCTTTTCTCTGTATAACCAACTCTAGTCACCAGCTCTGCTTCCTGTAAGGTCAGCTGACTTCTGACTGTGATGACCTTGGGCAAAGACTGCCCTTGAAAGGCCTGTTAGTAGGTGAGGAGGCTGGGTCTTTGCAACAGCTGGGAGGGGGAGGGACTCAGCTCCCAGACAGGCCAGCTCTGTGTGACCTTGGAGGGACAACACCGGTCAGATAATGTCTCATTTCCTCCACAACAAAATTGGGAAGTAGGCTGCATTCACTCACTCAGCAGATGTTGTTGAGTGCCTACTATGTACCTGCATTATTTAGGGGGTTCAGGGTACATCCATGCAAAGTTCTTTGTTTGCAGAGCTTACATTCTAGGGCTAAGGAGGGAAGGTGGAGGCGGACTTAAAAAAAACCTTTTAAAGTAAATAAGTAAAATATATATTTTGGGCCCATTTCACTTCATTCTGCATGCCCCCCAGAGTCATGGATTCGAACACCCACTCAATAGTGACCAAGCCGATACTAGGTTCTAAACACTATATTAAGCACTGGGGACCTAAAGATCAGTGAGTCCCCAGTATCCTCTTGATGCTCCCAGTGTAGGCAGAGACAGGGACTCACTCACGTACAGTTCGGGCGTGTGTATTAAGTGCTGCGACAGAGGCACCCACCAAGAGCAGGGAAAAGGCCCCACACCTACTGCCCTGAGGCCACCACACCTCCCCCTTGCTCAGGGCTGACTTCTCTCTCACCCCCTGTCCTTCCTGAACATGCCCCTCGGGATGGTCCGGGGTACCCCAACCCTGGTGTATCCCTTTGGAGCCCAACTAAGGGAAAGTCTTCCTAGCGTGGTAATGAATTAACTTACTGAGTACTAGTTTATTTCTTACTCTTTCAGATAATTTATTTACATGCTGACTATTTTTTAGTGCCTGGTAACAAAGGGAGGCAGACTTCACTGTGGAGGTACCACCTTCTAGCGCTTGGGGAAGGGAAGATGGGGAAGTCCTAGCTCCTGTGGTCACAGGGTCCTCCCTCCTTCCCTCTCCCTGGGGCCCAGTCTTTGAAAACTTCATCCTGTCTTACAGTCTGGGCATCTGGGTAGCCCTTGGCAAAAACACCTTTGGGATCATGACATTTTTAGGGCTCAGTACAACCTCAACGGTCTTCAGTCCTGGGAGTTTCAACCTGTGACTGAGCATGTCCTGACATTCTCTGTAAAGTTGTGTGTGAACACGCTTAAGTGTGTTTTCTTTTCCTAAAGACAAAGTCTATAGCTTTCATCAGATTCTTACAACCAGAACAGCTGGTCATAATCTTAAGTGATGGACTTGAGGCCCCTCAGGGAGTAAAGTGACTTCCTAGAGATGATCCAGGTACAGTGGGGAGAGGTTCTTGTGCCCCTTTAACTGTAGCTGCCACAGGAAATCCCTCCGTCTTTGAGGCAGGACTTTGGTCTGATTCATAGTTCTAGCCTGCACCCGAACCATGCGTGCTCTATGGCCCCCGTGGGTAAGTCTGCTTTGTGGAAGCAGTTTGGAGAGCTGGAGGAGGTCCCTGCTCCATCATCCAGCCACTGACATCAGCTGCCTTTGAGCTCTAATTTACCAGAAAAGTGCTAAGCTTTTGGAGCTGCCTGTCCCCAGAGACATTGTGCCCCCCTTGGGCACAGGATGAAGTTTCCAAAGGCTGGAGCAAGGCTGTCTGGTCTCAGAGAATAAGCTTAACCTGAAAGGCTGCCCTTGCAAGCATCACACCCTAGAGATAGATCACCCAACTGAGCCAACCTTCCAATGTTGACACTTTCCAATCCTCTGGTCCAAGGCAGAAATGCCTGGCTTGTTTGCAGACTGGAGACCTTGGGACAAGTCGTGTTGACAACACCTAGGGTCCGTTACCGGGGAAACAAATACATAGGCCTTCTCCCAGTCAGTGTGATGGCCAGCTGGAACTGGCATCAGCCCAGGGAGCAAGGAAGAAACAAGACCTCACAGATGGGAATTACACATTGATCTAGAAAACCCTAGCATCTTCTTTGGATGTCTATAATTATACACTATGTTTGCCACTCTGACCTGTGATGGGGTTGGTTTCTTCCAAAGAGGGCCTGCGGGAAGAAATGGGTTCTCAGTCAGGTCCAGCAGCCTCAGATGTGATGGGAAGTCAGTGCGATAGAGGGAAATGGCACTGGCTCAGGCATTCATGGGCCCAAGCTCCAGAGGCCACCCCCTTGAAATAGCTGGGTGATGTTGGGCAGGTGGCTTCCTTGCTCTGTTGCTTTGTTTGTTTCTTTTTCTGCCAAGAGAGGGCTGTAGGAGCACTGGGTGGATGACCTGTGAGGTTCTTCCCAGTGTTACTATTATTCTAGCCTTTTCATTGGTTGGTTCGTTGATTGATTGATTGATTGATTGATTGATTCTATATGCTAGCTGTTGCATTTGAAGCTTGTTTATGACAGAGTTACCTGAAGGCAGAAATGTAGACCAGAGCACTGCCCTGCCCCCCAAGCCCCCCTCCAGCCCCAGGAGTCAGGAGGGGCTGTGTTGGGCCCCAGGCTCACCAGCAGGAATATGGGCACCTCTTGCTATAGCGACAGCAGTAAAATTGCCACTCTCGATCCAGCACCGACTCAAAGTAGCGGCTCTGGAACCCTGCCACCAGCCCGTTGTTGGAGCAGGTCTGGTACCTGAAGAGAAGAGAACAACCTCAAGTAAACCAGTGACAATGACACTCCAGCCGGCCCCTGCCCAGGCCCCCAGCTCCCACTGGGACTGAGCCAGGCAGCTCTCTCACTGACCTAGATTCCTAACAATTTATTCCATTTTTATGTAAATAAAAAAGTCTTTGTTATATTTGTAGGAATGACTTATGCTCACCATTAAAATCCAAATGATTCAGAATCTTTCAACTGAAGGAAATTTGGGGGCCGCTGCTCCCGATAGACCCCGATGAATATATTGTTAGATGGAAGAATGCGTAAGTGGATGGGTGTAGACTTTTACAAATGCAAGATTGTATTGTTATTCCTGCCATTTAAAATAAGATGATATACTGCATTTTACTTGAATGTGAAGTAAAAAGAAGACAAAAGAGAAACGCAGTGAATGGATGATCTGCTCATGAACCTTTCTTCTGCTTAAGAGGAGAGCCCTGGAAACCGATGGACGCTCATTCATTGGCCCCAAGCAGCAGGCAAAGCCCAGTGGACACGGCGCTTGGGCCAGGTGACCCAGTGGGAAGGCTGGGGACACGCCCCAGGTTCTTACTGTTTATCCAGGAGTCATCTTACTACCTGCTCAAGTCTGATTCTTCAAGGAAGGTGACCTCCTGCCCTCTGGCCCACACGCCCTCCCTGCATCCCCATGAATTTCACCTTTTTGCTCAATCTGGGCTGCTGCTGGTCTAGGAATCGGCCCCGTTTATGGTCACAGCACCTTCCTAAGTGTTGGCTTTGAACAGTATAATCATTTCTTCCTTTGTTCCGTCTCCAAAACTACTCTCTCCTTCTCTGCCCCAAGTCCCACCGGTACCCTGAGGCTTGCTGCTTTTTGCGTGACGAGGCGGACGCTACTCTCCTCGTGGCCAAGTGGGTGCCCGCCTGAGGCGAGGTCTCACAGCCCCTCCGGAACAGGCCCTCGGCCACCTCGGCTTCTTGGCGCCTCCCGCCCTCTTCCACCGATCACGGTCGCTCTTGCGGGTGAGCAGAGCAGGCAGCTGTCTGTGTCATGGCCTGGCTGCTGCTGGAATGCAACCCTGTTTTCCAAGTAAAGATAAGTTTCCAGAAAATACCGTAGATAAAGTAAGAAGCACTCTGTGCTGATAGGTGAGAGGGGCCCGCTGGCACACAAACTGTGAAACCATCAGTGACTGGGTTTCGTTTTCAATGATTGTAAATGATCTTGAGGATCCGACAAAACTGGATCTTAAATATACTTCATGCCTCTGGCCAGAGGGCACCTGTCCTTTCCACCCATTTGTTCACCTACTCATTCATGCCCCTGTCCATTCACATGCGCCTTTAATCCTTCATTCGTTCTTTCTTCCCCACGCTTTCCTCAGCTGCTCTTCGGTATCAGTCGCTGTCTCCCGTGTTGAGAAAAGAATTGCGGGGTGGGCTTGGTCCCCCGTCAGCCGTGCAAATGAGCCTGGACTCCCTGTTCGCAGGACTTGTAAGAGGTTCTCACAGAAGTCAGGCAGCTCAGCTACAGACCACTAATGCACATCAAGATGTGAATGCAGACCCCTGCCCTTTGGTGGCCTAGTCTTCTTTGCTCTACCATCGCTCACATCCCACCAGGAGCACCACCACCTGGCACGTTTCAGGAGGCCACCTGCCCGGAATGGACCACTAGGTCTGGGACAGCGGGACTATCATCTGTTCTGTCCCACTTCTAGCCGTGAGTGAGAGGTGACGCCAAGGGGAAGCTCTAAGAGTCCTAAACAAACTCACACATGTCTGAGGGAGAAGATACAGCACATGGGTGGCCTCCATGACCCTCCCCATCACCATCCCTGCAGTCCTGCCGCCTTCTCAAACCGCCCTTCGGGATGAGCTGTGCCGTGGTCTCCCTGGAGCTGTTGTCTGTTGTCTTGGTTTGTCCTGTGCCACAGGAACAGCCTTCCCCTGGCGGTAAGTTCCCACGAGTAAAAATAACCTAGCGAGATAAACTGCCCTGCGTCCTGGGGCACCCGTGCTGAGGGCAATCGAAGTGCCATGGATTCCCCGCCGCTGTCAACCAGGCAGCTGACCCAGGGTCCTGTGTGGAAGGTGGTGCGTGTGTCACACTCTTACACAGCACCTCAGATAACGCTGCCCTGTGAGGATTGTTTGGACACAGGCCCAGGGCCCAAGAACATCTGGGGAAAGTTAGATAACAGAGCAGAACTCCCTCCCCGGCCCTGGCCCCTTGCCTTCCCATGCTGGGACGGAGTCTGCCCTGGAGTTGGGTGGCGCACGTGGCCAATGCAATGGAATGATCCCTTCTAGAAGTGGACCTTTGTGGGGTGTTTCCACACTCGTGGGGAGCAGTGTAGCAGAGTGGGAAAGAGCATGAACTAACTGTGCTGCTGGACTGGAGCTCCAACCACTCCTGGCTGGGTCACCTTGGGCAGGCTTCATGCCCTCTAATGGCCTCAGTTTCTCATCTGTAAAATGGACACGTTCTTATTAAAGTTATTTTGAAGACCAGATAAGGCAAATACATGTACAATTCTGGAGACAGTGTCCTTAAGGCTTAGTAAGTTCTTTATTATTGTGACTATACTTTCGTTTCGTCCACACGACAATTGTGAGTATACTCTACGAATGGCCCCCCTGGCTCCCCAGCTGCAGTGAGTGGAAAGCTGTGGACTCACGTGCGTTTCCTGAGAGGTGTTCCCTAAAACGAGCTCATGGCGTTGGCTGTCTCAGTGGCTGTCTCAGTGTAGCCTGCTTTGTGGCATAGATATTCCTGTATGCCATGCTGCTCAGGAGATGGTGAAGTCCATGAGGGGAACAGATCATTTCATCTTCAGTTTGCATCCCCCCCAGTGCCTGGCGCTGGGGTTCAGCAAGTGTTTAATGGAAGAATGAATGAACAAGTGACTGATCAGGGCAGCAGCTGTTATCAGAGGCGGATTGACTTTTAGGAGCCCACGACCCAAATCCAGGAAGGGCCCTAAAACTGGCTCCGAGGAGTTTCCAGGGCTCAGCACGTGATGCATCTTCTACCTGCGCCTTCTCCCTCCAAGCAAAGCCTGCCCTCCCCCAGCATGAGTATAGCTCTGGGCATCCCTCCCCTCTGTTCCTCTCCCTTTCAATTGCCCACCTCCTTTTTTTTAAAGCATCTTATTTAACAAGACTCACCTAATCATTTGGCAGCCAAATGCAAGATTGCAAACATAGGAGCCAGGCAGGCGAGAGAGCGGTGAGGGCAGCCTTGAGTGGGAGGGGACTGGGGAGCTGGCGGGAGGCTTGCATTGCTCAAGTGATTCAAAGTCAAGTTTTAAAAGGAACCCTGTTGAGGAGCCAGCAGACATGATTGTGTCCTAGCCCTGACCTACCATGCTGCATGGGGTCTCACCAAGTCATCCATGGGGATTCAGTGAATTGAGGATGGCCGTACAACTCTTAGCCAAGATGAGAAGAACCCAGATTCAAGCTCAGATTTTTTTGAGGCCAGATCTCCTGTCCACGAGCTCTCAGGGCGCACAGAAGGTTGCTCCGAGATGGTCCTGCTTGTGGCCCACCATCCCATCTGGCCAGGCTGTCTCCCGTGCTCTGTGTTCTTCGAGCCCACGCTGTTGGCCAGGCCGTGATGGAGGCCAGGACTAGGTGTGCACACATCTGGTTTTGTTGGTGAGCTTCTTGGAGAATTTTAGTTTCCCCTCTAGCTTCTGCTGGTCTCTGTCCAAACATATAGAAAGCCCAAACTCTTAGCAAGCTGGGGGTGGCACTGGGCCGGGCAGAAGACAGGGTGGAGGAAAGCAGAGGCATCCTGGTCGGTCAAGAGCTTTCATAATCCCATCTGTGGGTGGGCTGCTCTTTTTTCTGCCAGCTCCCCACATACAGATGTGTCTGTCCCCAGGGCTGCTGGCCCACCTCCTACCCACTGAACAGACAGTATAAGAGCAGCTTTGCCCATTGTCCAGCCCAGTGAGCGACGCTCTGTGTCAGGGAGACCACACTGTGTAGCCTCCGTTACCCCCCAAAGTTTCTCCCCCACCCTGGTTCGATGAGGACTTAAATTCCACCCAGAGATTCATTCTTTTAAGGAAATCATTGCCTGCTGTTAATTCTGTTTTCCCCAGAACAATCCTTTGAGTTTCTATCGGGCATTTATAACTTGGTCCACAGAGTCTCAGGATGGCCACCGAGTCTTTCGACAAACACTCATCAGCATCTCCTCCGTGCCTGGTGCTGTGCTTGGTCTGCGAGCCTCCCCGGAGGACTGTACGGTGAGCGCGGCTACGGCCACACGCTATTGGAGAGAAGCCCACTGGTACCAATGACAGAGGACAGTTTAAGAAGCTGGGCGGCTGTGGGGTGGGGGCAGGGAAGTGAACACTGGCAGAGACAAACCCAGCTTGCGGCAAGTCTGCCCAAGGGGCTGTGAAAGTCCTGGATTCTGGCCTTGAGCCCAACTAGATGACTCCACACTTCATCTCGTCCTTCCCGCTGACACTGACGCCTGCTTCTGCAAAATGGGGGTGACGGTTCCTAACCGGAGAGTACTTCACGAAGATTAAAGAGACGCTACGTGTCAAGTCGACCACAGAGCCCGGCACAAAGCATGTTATCTCAAGGTGGGCGGAATAGCAGTTCTTATTATATTATCATAGATGGTTAAAATTAAATAGAAAGAGAGGCTACATCCTAGTCTCCCAAACCCACTCTCTGCTGGGGCCTACACTGGGAATGGCCAAGGTTGAGCCCTTCCACTGGGACAGTGGGATGAGCCTCAGAAAACAGGTTTCTGAGGACAAAACAATCGGGAGCCTCGCTATTGGGAGAAGCCTTTCTGTCTTGACAGTTCCAGCTCATGCTGGTGTTCCTTCCTTGTGACATGACGCCACCATCCCACATTTCTAACCCGCACTGCACTGAATTTTTTCTAACATGGTGAGAAGTGCAGGGCTTTTGTCTTCCTGCCCCAAAGGCGGGGGCCTCTGCAATGACGCTGACTGGCAGGCAGCCTGCGCCCTCCC